GTACCCTCATGATCTATGTTGCGTAACTCCGGGGGTACGCGGACCCCAATTTGGACAACACTAGTGTAAAAGACGGATGTGGGGGAAGGAGCGAAAGAGTGTAAATGCAGTATGTGTGTCTGTAGTGTATATGTATGGTGCGAGATTAGGAGAGGCGTGTGCGGAGAGAATCCTCTAACGCAATTAAGCAAGTAATTATCTTGGTAAAATAAACAAAGAGAAACTTGTAGCACTCAAACTAGGTAAATTGTTCACTACCAATTATCCTATTAGCATCCTCTTTCAATTATTAAGTTCGGGCGTTTGATAAAACGAAACATATGTAAAAATATCTATTTCGGAATAGTTAAGAAACACGAACTGATAAAACAATAACGCAAGCGATGGAGTAAAATGAAACGCTAAAACATAAAAGACAATAAAACAAATCATGAAATAAGGTTAAGCACTTAAAATACAGCAAAACGAACGGTGAAGCAAAAATGAACTTGGATCATGAAAAAACAAAGATAAGACAAATTAAAGCAATAAAACAAAAACGATAAAACAAAATCAACTTAATACCTTAAACACTGAACATAAACAGGTAAGAGAACAAAAAAGTAAAACAAACAATAAAAGTTACAATAAAAAAAACCCGAAGATGATAACAGAGGATAACAGGTCACTTGTTGTTCCAATCAATATCTTTGCAACTTATCTCTTACGACCTATACCAATATTGTTCTCACGACCCACGTAATTGCTCAAGACGGGAAAGCCCATTCCGTGGTTCCTCAGACGGTCTTTCGAGGCAGACCGCTAGCAACGACCCATCTTTCTTTGAATGCTTGCTTTCCATGTTACTTTGAGGGCGGGGATTAGTGAGGTTTGAGGGGGGATAGTGGAGTTTGAGGGCGGGGATAGTGTAGGTTTGAGGGCGGGGACAGTGTAGGTTTGAGGCGGGGACAGTGTAGTTTGAGGGCTGGGAGAGTGGAGGTTTGAGGGCGGGGATAGTGAAGGTTTTCAGGGCGGGATAGTGGGAGGTTGGTTCTTTTTCCAATCAAAATGGATACACCATATCGTAAAACTTAATAGTGTATAACAAAATCTAGATTAATCAAATCAAATAAGTCCAAGTGATAATCCATAATAAAAATAAATGAATTAGAATAATAGTTGGGTAAGGTAGAGAACCAATAAATGTTAAAACACAGCGGAGAGCATCCTCTTCACTTTCGAGGCGACCGCTAGCAAACAATATCATCTGTTTGATGTCTGCTTCCCATGTTATTTTGAGGGCGGGATAGTGTAGGTTTGAGGGCTGGGATAGTGTAGGTTTGAGGGCGGGTGTATGAGGTGGATAGGAGGTTTGAGGGCGGGGGATAGTGGGAGTTTGAGGGCGGGGAATATGGGAGGTTTGAGGGCTGGGTTGAGTTTGAGGGCGGGGATAGTGTAGGTTTGAGGGCGGGGAATAGGTATGAGCGGATAGTGAGTTTGAGGCGGGGATAGTGTAGGTTGAGGCGGGGATAGTGAGGTTTGAGGGCGGGGAATAGTGTAGTTTTGAGGGCGGGATGTAGGTTTGAGGGCGGGGATAGTGGAGGTTTGAGGGCGGGATAGTGGAGGTTTGAGGGCGGGATAGTGTAGGTTTGAGGGCGGGATAGCGTAGGTTTGAGGGCGGGATAGTTGTAGGTTTGAGGGCGGGGGATCGGGAGTGTAGGTTTGAGGCGGGATAGTGGAGGTTTGAGGGCGGGGATAAGTGAGGCCGGGGATAGTGTAGGTTTGAGGGCGGGATAGTGTAGGTTTGAGGGCGGGGGATAGTGGAGGTTTGGAGGTTTGAGGGCGGGCGAGGTTTGAGGGCAGTGTAGGTTTGAGGGCTGGGATAGTGTAGGTTTGAGGGCGGGGATAGTAGTTAGGTTTGAGGGCGGGGATAGTGGAGGTTTTGAGGCGGGGAATTGGAGGTTTGAGGCGGGATAGTTAGGTGTTTGAGGGCGGGGATAGTGTAGGTTTGAGGGCGGGATAGTGAAGGTTGAGGGGGGGAGGGGGGCGGGGATAGTTGAAGGTATTGGAGGTTTGCGGGGATTAGTGAGGCTTGAGGGCGGGAGTGTAGGTTTGGGATAGGTTAGGTTTGAGCGGCGGGGATAGGTGAGGGCGGGAGATAGTGAGGGTTTGAGGGCGGAATAGTGTAGGTTGAGGCGGGGATAGTGTAGGTTTGAGGGCGGGGATAGGTTTGAGGTTTGAGGGCTTGAGGGCGGGGACAGTGCAGGTTGGTTTCTTTTCCCAATCAAAATGGATACACCATATCGTAAAACTTAATAGTGTATCAACAAAATCTAGATTAATCGAATAAAATTAGTCCAAGTGATAATCCATAAAAAAATAATTGAATTAGAACAATGGGTTGGGAAGTAGAGAACAATGAATGTTAAAAACACAGCGAGAGCATCCTCTTCACTTCGCGAGATAAACGCCTTTTTCTCTGAGCCTGTGGAGGATTTCGAAGATTTTGAGCTGACATCATTGTGCAAAGGGGCGAAGTCAAAAAGACTTCATAGCAAACACATCACACACACACAACACAAACACACACCACACAAACACACACACACACACACACACACACACACACACACATATATATAATATATATATATATAATATATTATATATATATATATATATACACACACACACACACACACACACACACACACACACACACACACAACACACACACACACCACACACACATATATATATAATATATATATATATATATATATATATATGTATGTATATATATATATATATACATATATATATAGTATATATATATATTATAATATTTATAATAATTATATATATATATATATATAATATACACAACATACATATAATAGCATATATATACATATATATATATATATATATATATATATATATATATATATATATATATATATATATATATATATATATTATATATATATAATATAAAGCGTTGGAAGGTACACCTATATGACCCTGCGACAACACCAGGATGTATACGCACGTAATATCAGAGCTTAATGAGCGGGCTAGCGTAAACCGGGTAAGCGATATCAAGATGATAACAAAGGGGTCAACACCAAAGCCTTCCGGGGTGGGAGCTCCGTTGCTCAGCAGGGACTTCAAAAGGAATCCACCCTGATCAGCATTGGCACCACGCTCAGTGCACAGTGGATTATTTCCAGTAAAGATAAACAATGAATAAACAAACACAGAAAGGTGAATAAGAAATAATTTGTTTCTCTCTGCACAGTGACATAACCACCAAAGGAATGATGTGTGTGATTTTGCATTTTTCCAGCCAGATGCGTGATTAAACAATTAAATAAAATAAAATAAAATAAAATAAATGAAATGAAATGAAATGATTAAACAGATTTTTCAGCCTTTTCCCTGAATTGCGAGAGATCAGTGTCTGTATCCTGTTAGTAGAAGAGGCATTGGCCGGAGCCTATCCACTGGAAGAAGTCCTCAATGGGAACACCAGCGAACTCTGACGCGTCCTTTTGGCAGGTTGAGTAAACGGCGAATTGGAACCACATGTTCGGATGAATGGATGTCCTGTTGCCCCGAACGAGGACAGAAGGCTACGGTCAGTCCCACAGAACCGGTGGCAGAGGAGCGTCCTTTCGCGAGACAAACGACGTGGCAGTCATGAATAACACACACGCAGGGAAGAGCATGTGGATTGATGGGGTAGCGATGTTTCTGGCGGCCTAGAGGATTTGAGGGTAGGTTTTAGTGTGAGTTTATTTATGCCGAATATAACTATTATGCCATATCACTCACCTACCTATATTATATATACAAATTTCATATATAATAATATCAATTTAATATATATTTATGTATTTATATGGTGCTCATATCCCCTACTGTACCTACTCCATATAATATACTATATATACATATATATACTATATAAAGTAATAGGGAATATTATTCACTGCTATTGTATACTGTATATATATGTATAAATCCAGTCATGTTATTATTATGTATATTGTATATATATGATAGTAAATATGTACTACCATGTATATGTATTGTATACATATATAATTATTAGTATATCTATAATAATTCTAATATATATACTAAAATTATATATTATATATTATATTATTATTTGTTTACTAATATGTGTATACTACATTATATTATATTGGTTATATATATAAATTACTATACCCGGCGTACAAATATATATAAGCTATATTTATAGTATTATAATAATAGTATTAATGTGTGTGTGTGTGTGCATCGCTCGCTGCTGTGTGTTATGTGTGTAGTAGTGTATTATAATAATAAACTAATCAAATTAATAAATATAGTAATACATATAATATAAATAATATATAATATTATATTAATAATTAATATAATAATACTAAACCACTACCATATAAATATGAAATATCATATTACATAACTCTAATAATAATATATATAGTAATAATAAATAATTATATCTCTTATATATCTACTATAAATCCTTACCTCACTACTACTATATATTATACCTATATATAAAAATAAAATATAACTGCCCTACTCCAGCTATGTATATATGTAATCAGTGGATAATCAGAATATGTATAAATATACAAATATATGTAATATAAATATATTATCATATTATACTCACTCTCACTCTACATATATATATGAATATATTATATATTTTATATATTTTATTATTATATAGTATTATTATTATATTATAATGTAGATACTATTATTATAGTCTAAGTAATTAAGGCATTATAGCGTGTGTGTGTCTGTGTGAGATGAAGATACCTATTATAGAACAGGTGGAATTAGGGAGATTTAAAAGTGAACAGTTTTTGGGTCACAAGAACTCACTTCGATATATTTTGGGGGCGGATAATATTAGTGTAAAGTATTAATAACATCCATTTTATCATGGCTTTTTCACTGACTAAGATAATAAGGTTTTTAGAAGAATCACA